AGGGGCCCGCGCTCGCCGTCGGGCGGGAGCTGTGGTGGCTGCGGGGGTGCCGTGGTGTCCTCTCTCCTCGCAGGCTGAAGTGGAGGAAACCCTAAAGAGGATTCAAGCCCACAAAGGGGTTATCGCAACTATTGTTGTAAACGCCGAAGGTAAAACGTCCTCTGCTTTCTCCAAGTAACAAACTTGGTAGCAGCAATGAGTGTAGTAACTCCTAAGCACGAAATTGCAGATTATGAGGTGTTAACACAATCTGCTTGTGATGTCTTATGAAGGTGTTGTGATTTTTAAGAATGAGTGTTTCATCTTAAGACATTTGAACATTTGGTTTGTGGCAATTTCTTGAAGCTCTCCATACGATGTAGTTTTTCATTCAAGTTAATGGAAAGCAAAAAAAAAGAAAGCAGAGCCTTGTCATAAGTCTTCTCTGAAGAAATAACTAGAAGTATCATAATCTTCATTTAACTTAAGGAGTTCCATGTTGTTACTTATCCCCCTTGTTTAACTAAACTACACTTTATTTTTCAGAACAAGATCTTGAAGATCTCTTGGTAGGTGACAGGGAGAAAGCATGGCACTAAGCTGTTGCTTTTGCAGGCATTTTTTAGTCCAAAATTCTTCGTATATGCAAGAAAATTCACTAGCACTTCACTCCCCCCTTCTTCCTCTGAGAATTTATGACAGAACAAAAACATCAGGAGAAAAGTATCTACTAAACAAAGTTGGTCTTCTACTGTGAGTGCCATTCCTTGGCCCTACTAAATATTCACAAGTTCTTTAAATTGTGTTACGGTGTGTTGTCATAGGAAGAAGAGCAAGTTTCATGTCAGGCCAGCTTTGGCTGTGACCCTGAAGACTGCAAGCCCAAAGTGAAGCTGGTTACAGAAATCAGTTTTCAGAAGCTAGGCTTCTCAGCTTAATCTGTTTTAATCATTCCTTTACAAAAAAGACAACTCACTCAATTTACCTTGCCCCTAATTTAGTTGACCTCCTTTGCTTTTACAATCCCCCCAAAAATCTATTGCACTAGCAGCAGTTTAGCAATGGGAGGCAAGAATACTAAAAAGGAAGCCTAAATGTTATTTAGTCTTTAGAAAATGTGAACAATTTAATTTGTGTGCCTGGACATGTTCAGTAAAATGTGCCTTTGTTCACAGACTAGATGATGCAGGTCAAGAGAGAAGTGCATAGCCTGGCAAATAGAAACTGAAAAGCTGCTTTGTGCCTGCACGTGCTCATGTCTAGATATGGCTGTTCGCTAAGCTGAAATGCAGTCTGGTTTCAGAACAAGTACTGTTTCAGCCATTTCTGTATTCCGTTTCAGTAAATAGAAAGTGACTTGATCCAATGAGCACTTAGACTAAGCTGCAAACGAGAAGTGAACAAAATCAAGCACTTAGGTAACACAAATGATCCTTTCTGAGCTTGCAGACTAATACATTTCTCAAGGCAAAAACACCAATGTAATCTCATAGAAAAATAACCCAGTTTACTTATGTTCTGTTACTTGGAACGGTTGACTTCTTGGCACAATATTGGTCAAGTATGCTTTCCCACTCGGGTGTACTACTGCAGTCCATCTTAACCTGTGGTAGTTCTACAGTATTGAGGGAAAGCTCAGATACAGCTGTGCAGAGTTAGGACAATAGCATTCTTTTTAAAAGGCTGTTTTAGATTCCTTCTGTCTCAGGTTTGATTTGCAAAGGAGGAAGAACATTCCACTTCCCTTTATTGCACATTAGACCATTCCTGGCAAGGTATAAAGTCCCCCCATGTCCTGTTCAAACTTCCTCATCCTCACAAACTTGTAGAACATGTGGCCAGACTGAAGCCGATGGACAAGACTAGTGCAGGAATTCTGGTTTTAGTTTGTCATTATAAATGTTTTGACACCAGACGCCAGATGTGAATGCAAGAGAGTCTGTACTCTGTGAGGATGTATTCAAGGTACTGAAAAGTTAGATTCCACAAACTAAACCTCAAAGTAGGTGTGTAGTTGCAAGTTTTTGTAACATCTCCAAATATCCATAATTAGCACTGATTGATCTAATTACTTCAAATCTTTCTGTAGAAAATTAAATTTAATTTCCCTCTATCCTGAAACCTTTAAAACAAATGTACAACTTAAATCAATCACAGTAAAGATACTCAAACCAGTGGTGCAGTAGTGAGGTTTCTTGGCTGTGCGGGTTCCCTAGAAAGATGAAACCCTCTGTTCTTCACTCATGTAAACAGTTGTCTTTTAGTAAGGTTTTTGTAATAGTGTAGGTACACTTAGGCGTAATAGTATGCAGGTGAAATAGCAAATTAGATTCCTGATACAAACATTGCCTGTCATTTATTTTAATGCTCGAAGTTGATTTGTTCATTGAAACACTACGCTAAGTATACTTTATTTATTTGGAAAAATCTCATAAACTTGTTGCTATCCTTTACAGTCGAGAAGGATCACACTACAGAATTTCTAATGAAGGATTTATTTGCTTTTTCTAATTTGGGTGGCAGAGGCAAAGCAAATTTGTCCTAAAGTAAGCATGGCTCAGCTTTAATCTAAGGATGTCACTAGTGTCAACTCATTTTCATGTTATTATTAGACCTTGGAAGATCATTTAACATTTACCATTTTCATTAGAAGTGCTGTATTTGTTGAAGCAATCATTTAGATACAAGGTCATATAAACTTGACGCTAATTCGTTCCTGCTTTTAAGTGACTTACTATTTAATGCTGTGATTATACAGATATTCTCATGCTAATGCAGTGCTTGGGAACACCTGCTTGTTTCCATTAAAACATCAGTTCCAATCTCTGTGTAATAAACATTAGACACAAAGGATGTACGGGGTCATTCTGTACACTTCCCTGCACTACGCATCCTACCAGTGCAGAATTATTTCTTGATGACCACACAGATTTCAAGTTATTCAAATAATGCTTTCCTAGGAAAATTATGGAGTAGTCTAATATCTGAGGTGGTTCTATTATATCTTTTACTCCTTTGCCTCTAGTTCTTTACCTGGCATTCACTATTTTTGCATGTTAATTCTTCTTTCATAATCAAACTCTTCAACTTAAGTCATGTTACTCTGGTTTTGTATTCCTATCCTGTCCATCTGGAAGACGCAATATAAATGTATGCAAAGAGAAAATTGCCTTGCCAGCTTGTAATTTATTGTCTTTGTTAGTAGGTCAAATAAATTTTTTATTAGTGAAACAATCTTATTAAAGCCAAACAGTTTTACACTTGCAGGATTACTGTGAACCCTGTTTTTAGTTTCACCTGGTAGCCTATTAATATAAAACGCATGATTTGACAAATCATTGATAAACAATGATTCATTAAGTCATCAGAAATTAATCTTGACTTACGTGGTCATATTTTTGGGATCAATACACTGTGTACTAGCAATTGTCAATATTTTGCCGCTAACTGGAAGGGATTGTTCCAAGAGTGGTTTTGCTTGCTGAATGCAAACATGCCACTTCGGCCCTTTGATTGCTCCTGGTATTTCACTGGGAATGTGTCGTTTCTGTTACGGCACACGCCAAGTGCTACAGCTAAGGTATGGGTTAGATTCTTACAAGCTCGGTGACAGTGTTTAAACTGATGAAGCACCATAACTGGTTAAGTACAACAGAATGGAATTTGATAGGTATTTAAGAGCCTTAAACAGCAGTTAGGCTCTTTCATAAGTTTCATAAGGCAACTCAATGTTTAATTGCCACTGACTAATATAAATTATACTTTAAAAAGCATGTAGACACCTGAAATCAACATAACTCCTTTCTGCTACAAACCAGAAAAAACTATGAAATCCTTGGTTTTTCTCTTATCTGCTGTATATGAAGAATATGCAACTTAACTGAATGATCATTAGAAAGCTATTTGTTTACAGGAATTCCAATACGAACAACTCTTGATAACTCTACAACAGTCCAGTATGCAGGTCTTCTTCATCAGCTTACCATGAAAGCTAGGAGCACGGTGAGAGATATTGATCCTCAGAATGATCTAACCTTTCTTAGGATCAGATCAAAGAAACACGAAATTATGGTAGCTCCAGGTAATATTTCTATTAAAATAACAATAGAATTGTATGTCCTTTTAAGTTTCTTTTAATTCTTCACAAATAAGACTACTGTAGAAAATGCATTTTGAAAATAACTATATGAAAATATAACCATATATTCACTGTGTAACCAGATGTGTTAGGATTTTAATGTACAGAGCTTGGAGGCAACCAAACAAGTCTAGATCTGATTAATGATCTGGTTTCTGTGGGTTTTCACAAAGGAAAACCGGACAAATATATATATCAAAGTGTGTGTGTGTGTATAGCATTAAAGGCAGCAAATCCATTTTATCTCTAAACAGATGCAAAAAATCTTTTGTTTCTAAAAATTAGTTTTTACTTGGTATGTTATCGTGGTGGGATTTGTCACAGATGTGCAGTATTATCACCAACATAGTAACTGTGATGTAATTATTTTCCTTAAAACAACCAGGGATATAGCAACCTGTTTCCCACCCATGTTAAATACAAATAACAATATGTTAATTTGTTAGTTGTATCTCTAAAATAGATAACAAGGCCAGCTGAGCTGTGGCAAAGCTGTGGTCAATTACCAGTACAAGGTGAATCAGGCAAAGTGGAAGTGATTGGTTGGGACTGAGATCCTAATGTGTGTGCCAGCTAATTGAGAGACTAATGGTATGCAGGATTTTGACCGAAATATCCAATGAAGGCATGCAGAACAGAAAGGAAGCTTCAGGGATCTCCTCAGCACAGCCACTGGGGAGGACGTTGGCTCTGAGCTTGTAGTGATGGACAGCCTTCACTGGGGCTTCACTCTGATGCTGATTTCATAGCAGATGTAGAGCAGAGGTACTGCACTAGGTATGCATTACCTCGCCTTGCTGGAATTATTTATAATGCTGCTAGGAAACCAGTATGTGTAAAAGAAATCTAGCACTGTTGTTAAGTGTAAACATTAGTCAGCAGCTGATACTAAGATTAAAATTTCAGTTTAGTTTCTATTTTGCATTTTTTAAATCATGTTTTTTGCTCATTGATTTAAACTGATGCACTTGATTCTCATTTTGCATTTGCCCTTCACTTACTTTTTAGAGGTGACTTTTTGACTAGTAACCATTAAAGTATGTTGACCTGAAAATAAGTGGTATAAAATGTGAAGTTTTTTTGCTAACAGGGAGATTATTTCTTCAAAGGCTTGATTGTATTTTACTATAATAGAAGGTGGCAAATGAACCACCTGTGATTTATATTAAGTTGCTTTTGGATGAAAGTGACAATGCAGGAGTGCAGCTTCTTAACACTCCAAAGCAGATATGACCCTACTAAATTCACTGGATACTTTCAAGAAATGCTCCATTTAAAATAGATAATGTTAAAGAGCTATCCAACAGAATTGTTTCCAAAACTTCCCCGGGCTTATAGAATTAGTAGGCGAAATCTGGCATGCTTAGAATTTATTCATGGTAGAAGTCTATTCAAATCTTTTCTGCTTTTTTCACATCTAAATGGGGTTCTCAATTTTGAATAAACTAGTTAGTGAACTGAAAGAAGTTCTCTGCACCTGCAGAAGAGGCTGCAGATGTCAAAAGTATTTTATTATAACAAGTGCTAGCTTCCAGGTGCTTATCTTGTGACTTTTTTCATCTTGTTTAAATATCTTTACAGCTTCTTGAAAGCAAATCTACTGCTTACTAAAATAGTTTTAATATGGTATAGTTAAGTTTTATGACACAGATTTTTTTTATCTGTAATCTCAGATTTTTGTACAAAGTGCTTACATTTTCTAAATGTTTTTTATATAAATGCCATTGCTTTTACTTATGCTTTATAAACTGATAAAGAGTTGGAGAGGAATAGATGAATAAAGAGTATTTATCAGGAAATAAGATAAAATATTTTAACTAAACATTTTTATATCTTTTTGCAGATAAGGAGTATCTCCTGATCGTTATTCAGAACCCATGCGAATAGTCCTACTATGGCAGTATTTTTAGAGACAGTGATGTAGTTCTACTTGTTAAACTAATATTACTTGTTGATATTTAATATCAAACATACACTTTATGTAAAATTGGTTAGTGCTAACTGTCACAACTGAAATGTTGCCAATTTAAAGTTCTCAGTTGTAGCTGTATCAGTTTGTGTTTGAGCAAAGCATAATGCATGTATCAAAATATTGTATGTTTATCTTGATACTCAGAGCAATAATAAAGCAAAATGCTTAAAACTCTCTTTAATGGATATTCAAGCTATTCTTGCAATTAAATCATTCTCTTTACACTTCTAACATTATGTTGGAGGAGAAATCATACCTCATGGGAAGTTGTAGATCATGTGTATACATAATCTATAAATGTGTCCCTATGAACTAGAGTAACCACAGTTACACGAACCAAAAAATACAAGTGTAGTTCGTGTCAGTAATGACAGACTGGATACTGCCCTGTCTTTTAACTTCTGGTTTTTAAGCTTTCTAAGGGAAGAAAAGTGAAAAACTCTTTTATTATTTTCCAATTTCTACAGATGGAAACAATAGCTTCATTTAATATTTTCAGTACGGGGGATTTCAAGCAGACAAAGTTGAGCCTGCACTCTAATGTAGAACTACTACATTAGTTAGTTTGTTGGTAAACAGTGGTTTTTGATAACTACACTGCAGTGCTGTTTGATGACTACGTGAGCCTTTAGATCCAATACACAAGCCATACGCTGTAGTGACGTGGGACAAAGGGTGGGTTAAAGCTCAGACTGTTTCCCAGATCAGATCCATGTTTATACAGTAGCACCGGAGATCAGATACGTATTGTTGAGTGCCTTTAAAACAGATGCACTGATAAAAGGCCACTGTAGGGTTAAGCTACCTACAAATCCATTCTGTTTGGAAGACAGGCTATGTCAGTGCCTTGGGATGGGTCTCGTGGCTGCTGTGCCCTCCTGGCTGTGGGAGGGCAGTACAGAACTGGGTGCAGCACCCCTGTTCTGCCCACACTGTATGCCTCAGGTGAGGGTAAGCGTGGCTACAAGCCTTCCTCCCTCGTGATCCCAAAGTCGTGCTAAGCTTTGCACTTGAGTATACGCTGAGACAGTGTGAACGTGAAAGGAGTCTGAGCTGACCCTGTACTTGAAAAAAACCCAGTCATACTTGTACTACAAATCATCTCAGGTTATGCAGATTATATATAAATGTTATCAGTTAATTATTTAAACTTTAAAACTTCAGACTGTCTTCAGTTGGTCACAAGGGTTTTTTTTCTAGATACAGGAAGGAAGAACAACAAATGTGTGGGGTGGCTGTGAGGATGAAAGGAAAAATGAATCTGTTGAATGCTGCTCAGGGATCTTTGCAGTACATCATATGAATTGTGGCTGAGGTTATGAAACTGATAAATCACCGCATGTCTCGTTGGATATGGAGTCAGCAATTTGCTTTTGGGGCTATGTTACGTATCACTCAAAACTTACACAAAGGAGAGTTATCAAAGCCTGGTGGTATTTTTTTCAAATCCGAGCGTTTGCTCTGACTTTGCTGAATAGCTTGGAAAGGCTGTATTTCACTGAAAAGTCTGGGAGGGTTAGTCCTGTTCCTGGGAGCGGAAGGTATCTGAGCGTTGAGATCTCGGAGGCTAGCAGACAGATTCCACACCCAAGCGGTGGGCGGTGGGGACCACGGGAAGGTTCAGTGCCACTGCGTTTCGAGAGGAAGCGAGCCCAGAGGCCCAGTGTGATGGAAATTAAGCACAGCAATCCAGCTGGGCAGGGCTATTCAAAATTTTAAGGATATGTAAATCAACAGGACACCATTGGTGGCACTTACTGTAGTCAGTGCTGTGCCAGAAGAATTTCCTTAACGCTTGAGGGTTTTTTAATTGTGCGCTGGAAAACAACTGTTTTAAGTTGTTTGTAATGAACCAATATATTGACATGTGGCAACGCTTTAAAAAACCTAAGTTTTTATTTGTTATCTTCTCTGCGTCTGTTGTGATAATTTTAAAAATCCAACTTATTTATTGCTATGTATTAGTGAACATTTATTCCACTATTATCCTGGTATGTCAAATGCCTAACAATTCAAAGCCCAGATTTTTCACTTCAGCACCTACCCAAAAGTATTGCTGAATTCCAACTACTATTAATGTGTATTTGGGGCTAATAGTTTTGTTTCCATAGTTTTCTCTAAGAGCATTAAATTCTGTGGAGGTTTCACTGCATACGTCCAGAAAACTGCCAGAATTACAGTCCCTGTTACACATTTCTGTTGTCAAAAATAATATTGGTGTTGCAATTTCCAGCATCACTGGAAAACGTCCTTCAGCCCAAAGAACACAGTAGTGCATTGCAAAGAGAAAAGCTTAGTGTCTGGCAACGTTCTTTCATTTTTGTCTTTCTGATACATGTGTTAGCTCCCTTTACAGACTTTAATCCAATATTTATTAAGCAGCTGATGATTGCTGTAGCTTGATAAAGCACTCAAAAAGACACTTAAGCCACATCATTAAAATTAAACACATGCTAAATCATTTTGCTGAAAAGTGTTTTTATGTGCAAAAATGGCCTTAAGCAGATGCATGTAGTTCTCCAAGGGTCAAATACTGCTCACAAATTAGTTTCTTTCACTGTTCCTATGAGAGGCATAGATGCAGATAAGAGGGCAAAGTCTGGTCCATTTATAATGATATGCGTAGTAACAAATGTTATGCAAACACATGGGCTGAGCTGTGCTGCCAGCTACTCTTACCAGGGCAGTCTCTAATCGGGTTTCCTTGAAAGCACTGTAGTATTATACAATTTTGGCAACATCTTCACTAGGGAGCATAAATTGAAAAAATCCATTTCATTCCCTGGTAATTTGTTCCTATTTTCTGTTAGGAAAAGCAAGCTGAACACGTGTAAATTTTTCATTTAGGTCTTTCAATAGGAAATGGAAGTAACAACAGTTAAGTCTCTAACAGTCCTAGTGGAAAACCCTCGTCAGCACATTGACCTGAACAAAGGTGGGCCATCGAAAAGGAATGGAATCGTCCAGACAAAATACAGGGAAATAATTTTTTAAGATATTTGAGCACCACAAAAGTGTTACACCAAGTCATTTCAGCTGTCATTTATGTGAACCAGCAGAGGTTTTACTAGTTAACAATTAACCAGGGGAAGGTTGAGGAAAAAAGTAGCGTGAAAGAGATTAATTTCATAGATGATCATTTTGTCAAGGGAATGTTGAGAATGTCAAGAATGGCTGTTGTTCACTGAAAGGCAGCATTTGGGTTGAATTGTAACATACTAGTTAGGCAATCAGCCAAGGAATAAATTATGTCAGTATCATGCATTTGGGGTCCTCAAAATAAACGAAAATAGAAAGTTCTTGGAGAGCCTCCGACTTTCAGAATAAAGTACCTTGGATTTTCCTTAACGTACAATTTTTCAAAATGCATGGTCCCTCATGGGACAACAGCTTTGGCCAGCAGATTCATTCAAGGCAGTTGTTCATTTTCCTGTATTTTGCTCATCTGCCAATTAAATACTTTTAAATATTTCATTTAATGCACATTCAGTGCATTTGGCAGTCTGGCTTTCTATGAAGTTACTTGGTTTTTTAGACATACAATTATCATTTAGTCCACATTACATAATGCATATAGAAGTATCAAATGGTGTATTTTTCAGTTATACTTTCAGCTTGACTCGATGTGTGTAGATCTGTGGTCTTATGTTTGTACGTTATTTGATTGAATATAACTGTGGGATACGATGAGAGTGATTCACAAACTGTGCAAGTGATGAAGCATTTGTGAGATAATGAACTGGTAACTATTTGTCACTTGTGCAGACTTGCAGGAATTTATGTATTTGTATTTTATCAGGTCTGGCAAGGGCATTCTTGTGACAGGATTCTTAGAAGGGAGGGTAATGGTGAGGAAGGTGGTATTAAATATTAAGTCAGAATGGTCTGAAGTGGACAGTATTCATTAAGGATGTTCACGGTTCATCTAGGAAGCACTACGATGTTCAATACGAAATTCTCCTACTGCCAATGAATGAATTATCAGACTGTGTACTTTGTCATGTATTAATTGTACTTGCCGACATAATTTCAGTGAGAAGCTCCTCAGATTTACTGATGACACAAGGCTTCGCATACAGCAGTATTATATATATGATGGGCATACATACGTGCATATATGTCTATAAAGCATGCATATATAATTACCGTTAACTTCCTGAGAGGTGTTTGTTGGACCACACTGGATTCTCTGAAGAAACTATCTGATCGTAAGTGTTAATAATAGTGAACCTGAAAAGGGCAGATTAGTAAAATATCACAATCATCTGAAAACGCAGTTAGGAATTAATATTGTTTTCAAGAGTTATTCAGTTAGTTTTGGAACTAAATGGTGACAGCAGCACTTTCAATGCCAGCTCCGCTGTCTCAACTCAGCAGGACACAAGTTCTGGAGTGGACCCACAGAAAAAGCCAGTTTTCCTAAATAAACTGATGTCATCCTTTTAATTATGTTTTAATTATTAAGTTACAATCTAGAGACAGCAAGATAATTCCCCTATTGACTTTTCAAATCTCAGGCAGCTAAATTAGAGTAGCCAGGAGAATTGCAAGTTTGTGGTCCCTTCGCCTGGTACCTGAACAAATTAAATCTCTCAGTTTGTAGAAAAATTAGGTCATAATAACAAGGCTCACTGCGGGACTTCACAGTATCCATGGGAGAAAGGAAGACTGATGCTTGGAGAGAAAGCCTAGAATGTCCTAAGTTAATTAAGCATAACAGCAGAGGTACATCGTATATCTGTTCAGATCATAGCATTGATTTGAATCTCTCTGAATTTCAGGACAGTCACATTTGGGGACACAGTGGGACTGGAAACAGACTCCTGTAAAAAATGCAGTGACTAGTAGGAAAGTAAAGGCCACAGGGATATCTGAACTGATTCCTTGAGCTTTGCGGACAATTTGAGAGAAAAAG